TCTGTACCCTGTGTCCCATGAATGCTGACAAATTTTAGATTTGTGAAAATCTCCCTTTCTTAAATAATCCTTGTATTCTTTAGTTCGAACATTTAAGGGTCTAGATGTTTCACCAATGTAAAATTTATCGCATTCACATGGTATTTTATATATTACATTTTTTGTTTGTTGTTCTGGTATTCATTAGTTTAGTATGTGATAAAATGGGATCTAAGTGTATTTATTTTATTTTATTCCGTAGTCTTTTATTTTACTCAGTAAAAAAAATATAAAATATAATAAGCTTTTGCTTTATCAACAAGTCCTGAAGCCAATATGGACTGATCGTATTCAACTCTTGGGATGTATCAAACAAAGCAACCGAAATATTATCCAAATATACCAAAACAAGGTACTGCGAGGTATTGTTGAGGCACCGTGGGTATATATGCAATGACAATCTACATAAGGACTTAGAAGTGGACAATGTCGACAACGTTATCGGAAATATGCCTTAAGAGAGAGGCTCCATCAGCACAGCAATATCGAGGCCTACCAGCTCCTGGATAGTGATGGCTTAGCTAGAAGACTGAAAAGAACAAAACTATTTCAGCTAGTGTAGTGTTATACTACAGCCCAGTGCATTCAACACAGGGTGCTGCAACAGAACTGACAGAACCAAAATTACTATCATAGGATTAGTATTTTGTATTTAACCGTAGCAAATTAAGTCAAAAACAAATAGCTTATTAGTGAACTTTACTAGATTGCTATACTAAATTGCCCAAGGGCGATTAAAAAAATCATTTTTCCAAAATTATTGCATATGAATGTTGGGTCAAATCAAAAGTCGTTCTAGGAAATATAGTCTAGTAAATGAAGGTTGAAACCAGTGGCGGCTTAACCATAAGGTCAAAAATGGTTTGGTTTGGTATGATTATTTAAAATGGTGAATGCCCCCCCACCCAAAAAAAAATCAGAAGAAAATTAGGAAAAACCTATTTAAATTATACTTTTTGTAAATAACTTTTTTATCCTAAGACATTCTAAACTATTCCCAAAAAGCCCTCCAGTTATCAATTGTCGCTTCAAAACGTTTTATTTTATCCATTTCCTCTACTGCCGGTCAAAATTTCATTTTGTCCTTCGTTCCCGCTCTGTTTTGCACGTATTAAACTCCAAATGCCGCGGCTCGTTGTAGCATTTTTTATTCCCTTTAATAAAATTGAATTTAAAAATCTATTTTTATTTAAATTTCTTAGTATTGGCGCCATCTATTTGCTAGATGCCAAAGATACCAGACTCCATTTGTTACAGCTCACTTGTCTCGATATTTAATTTTTATTAGCGCATCTATTCGCTAGATGTCAAACTTCATTTTTTACAGTTCACTTGTCTTGTTTATTAGCGCCATCTATTCGCTATATGCCAAACTTCCTTAATTGCATTTCACTTGTCCCAATCTCACTTCGCTGTGGATTGCGATTTTCTGTTCTAATGATTTCGATCATATGATATCACTTTTTTCTCTCATTTTGTCTGTGGTGAATAGGGTTTTTTGGTTTCGGGTTCTGAAACTGAGAAGAAGGTCTTTTTTCTGGGAATTTGGATCTGAAGAAGACGCGTGTTTCGGCGTCCGACAAATTTTCCAATGAAAAGCACTCTGAATCCACTTTTCGATTTCCATTGCATGGGTATCCGATTTGGAGATTTGAAAACCTTGTAAAGTATGCAATCCAGAGTATAGATCGTATTTGTTTGGTTTCTTCTTTGAATGATCACCGTAAGTTTATCCGCCATTTTATATAGCCCTATCTAACTAAATTCTATTTCAGTTATTTCCGTTTTTTACTTCGTTTATTTGAGTATTTAATTACTGGTTTGGATCGGCATATGGTTTGAATATATTTATGTAAAGCTGATTTTCAGACCGTAAGTTGTTTTTTTTATTGAGTATCTGTCCTTAGAACTATTTTTTATTTATAGAGTAACTACCACATGGTACTCAGTAATTACCACCTGGTACTCAGTAACTACCACATGGTACTCAGTAACTACCACATGGTACTCAGTAACTACCACATGGTACTCAGTAATTACCACATGACCTTAAGACAGTGTTCCTGACATTACAATCGTTCTTTTGGCTGATATCGAAGACTTCTCCTGCCATAGTCATCTGCATCCACTTCTGTTAGTCTGGAAAATACCTAACTACCTGTTTACATCATAAGAAACTATATACAGATAAGTTTGATACACAAGGTACGCTTTTATTTTATAATTTTTGAGGCAACAGATTTAATAACCTGGTAAATTATCACTATTTATCCCACATATTGTAGTCAAAATTATTTTTTATTTAACATTATAAGTTATAATTTGATTCGTACAGTACACTCTTACTTAGCTATGATATTTTATATGAAAATTATTAACACGTATTCATTTTAAAGGTTTTTGTACACGACATGTTTCGAAACATCATCGTATTGAGACATACATAAATTTCACTTGTTTTTATTAAGTAGCTTACTTAGTTCTAAGAATACAGTTACTAAATTCGAATCTATTTAAAATAACTTGCGGTTTTATTGGGATCACTGTGACTAATTGATGATACTTGTGTTCGTTTTCAATAAATGTTTAATGTAGGATAGTTATTTCTGACTTTTATTCCTGATAAACCTAATAGACCCTTAATGCTGTTGATTACTTTGTTTTAGCTATATTGTGATATCGTATTCTTCTTTTTGGTTTCTTACTTTACCACTCTCATAAACAAAGTAAGTGGCGCCCTTTTCACTGTCTTTGACCATACCTATTTGAATTCTTAACATCAATATTAAAATCTCTGCAGCCTATATATTATCATTTTTTTATTTTAATATTTAACAACATTAGAAAGTCACTGTGAGTCAGAAGCCTTACCTACTAACCCAGCTTTCCTCTAACCCTGAGCAACGGATTCTTTTTTCATTCTATTTGGGTAACGACAGAAAAGTCGTCACATCGTAACGCCAATGAGGTAAAGTATACTACGTATAGAAAATATAACGGGTTAAAGTGCGATAGATATAGTTTATATTGGCCATTGACCGCGTCATTCATAAAAGAAATTTCGTCGTTTGGGCAGTCTGGGTGTTTATAAAAACTCAAATTAGAAAACGACCTAGGTTTTTGTATGTTTTATCGCATATAATGTTTGGTTTAGTCATTAAAAAGCAATATTTAAATTTTTAATATCGAAAGAACTCCCATCTAGTTTGAGGTGTAGCGCGAAATTTGTGTAGGTAATAATTCATAATTTTCTTTTCTATTCTACCCTATCCTAACCAAACCAAACCAAACCAAACTATTTTTGTAGTGAAATAACAGCATTACTAGTCTTAGCCCACGGCCACACAGAAAGCTTTTTTAGCGTTTTCCGTTTTTTGTGTCTAAAGCGCTTTTTGCGATTTTACCGTTTTAAACGCTTTTTTCGATTTGTGTCCATTAAAAACACGCAGAAGACGCGGCAGGTCTGCAGATTCTATCAAGATGTCAATTAGTAACGTCACAAGCTCGTGGATTCCCAGCCCGTCCAACAATCAATCCTGTGAGAAAGAGATAGGCGAGATCGGCGCCGTTAGCGTTGAAGAGACGAAGATAAAAGATGCTGGTATTGAATTGTGGACGGGCCGAGCCATATATTCGACGACAAACACAATCTGCTGCTAGTACCAGTGGTGTGTGTAAAAATAATAATTATTATTTGCTATTTATTTTACGAATTTTAGTTTATATGTGTATAGTTTTTCTATGTTGTAGTGTTGTGGTTAACTTTTTATAATTATAATATAATATAATAAAAAAAATATAATTATATAATAGAATAGTAAACATTACTAGTTGCTAACACAATTTTATGACATGATTTATGAAACTTCTTTACGCGCGCTGGTAGTAAAAATTTAAGGCCGTGACATACGAGATAGCGAGACGGCCCTGACACACGAGCTAGTTGTAACGAAACGTGTTAACGGCTTAGAAATACGTAGTGACGCGAAGTGATATTGTCCACGTGTTTATCAAAAATATTGATATTTTATTACAAATTTTGTAAAAGTGAGTCAAATTAGAACGTGGAAAAACAATTTGTTACACGTAAAAAACTATTTTTATAATTTTACGCGTATAAAACTATTTGTTACTAGAAGAAAATTATTTTTTACTCTTATAAAACTATTTGTTATGTGTAAAAATCTGTTTGTTACACGTAAAAAACTATTTTATTACTTGTCAAAAACTTATTGTTTCTTGTAAAAAACCTTTCTTACGCAAAAAAAATATTTTTTTACGTGTAAGAAACTATTTGTTACACGTAAAAACTATTTTTTTACGCGTCAAAAACTTATTGTTTCTTGTAAAAAAAACTTTTTTACCCCAAAAAAATATTTTTACGTGTAGAAAACTATTTTTAACGCGTCAAAAACTATTTATTTCTGTTAAAAAAAATTTTTACGCGTAAGAAAATATTCCTTTAATTTATTACGTTTTCAACATTTCAAACTACACTTTTTCAAGCATTTCCTTCAATTTTTTGCAATTTGAATCTTCCTAAACAGTAGATGTTCTCTATAAAAAATATTTTTAAATAATACCCTAAAACGAATGCATACTATTTAATTTATTTTTATTGTATTAAATATAATGTCCGCCTGTGACGGGGGGTCTTATCTTAGATATTTCTAAAGACGCTACATAGAACAAACTGGATCTGTTTTCATTTGCGTTTTTTGTGAGAGACGCCGAACGCTACACCCTTTTAGTGGGGCCACTTCTACATAATCCTGTTATTTAGTTTAAGTCGCTAAAGACTCTTCACGCTTAAAACGCAAAAAACGCTTTCTGTGTGGCCGTGGGCTTAATTTTTTTTAAAGTTTTTGTTTTTGACGGGTCTCTTTTTTTCACTTCACATCATTAAAATAGTGACATTTAAAATTTACAACTTTATAACCTCTATTTTTTGACGTATTTGTTACTGTCAAATGAATTATGCAACAAAAAGAATGTCCCAACAACACTAAAGATATCGAAACAACATCTTGCCCTACATCGCCTAAAATATCATTGGTCCAGGTACCCTCCCTTAACATTCCAGTCTGCCGAATATGCCAAGCAACCTCGTCAAGCGAAGAACTGATATCACCATGCTACTGCAAAGGATCTCTGGCCTATATACATTTATCCTGCTTGGAACGATGGTTGAACGAATCCAGCAGGAACTACTGCGAACTTTGTAAGTACCGATTTGACGCCATCCGAACTCAAAGGTACGGATTGTGGCAAGGGTTAAGAATATGGATACTCCATCCAAGAAATCGAAGACATATTCAGTCAGATTTTATAGTAGGGTTCTTACTGACTCTGGTCACAGCAGGATTGTTAGCTGTTTGTATTTACGGTATGGAGTTCTTTGTAAACGAAGCTAACAGAATTGGAATGGGCAAAACGTGGATTCGGTTTGTGGTGATCACCTTTCTTATAATCATTCTATTGGGATACGTGATATCGATTTATCTTCTGGTGAGGGATCATTTTACTCCATGGTATCAGTGGTGGAGGAGGACGGTGAACATTCAGTTAAGGTTTCCTTGCCAAGGAGAAGAAACTGAAGGATAGTTTAAATCACCAAGCTTAGCCCAGTTTAAAAGAAATCTACATAATGGTATATATACCTAGAAATGCGACTTATATACCTACAAAGTGAGAACTTTATTATATCATACACTTTTCTTATTTATTTCTTGTAGTAAACATGTTATTTAAATTCCAAATAAACCATAATTATTTACAGAACCGATTTTTATTAATCAACATTAATGGCAATGTGAATGGAGATAATGGTCCAATTTTTTTGAGTTTTTTGTTCCCATCGTTCGAGTCTCGTCAATTTATGGTTACGCTTGACTGGTTTTGACTGGTACCGATTTGACGCCATCCGAACTCAAAGGTAAGGATTACGGCAAAGATTAAGAATATGGATACTCCATCCAAGAAATCGAAGATATATCCAGTCTGATTTTATAGTAGGGTTTTTACTGACCCTGGTCACAGCAGGATTGTTAGCTGTTTGCATTTACGGTATGGAGTTTTTTGTAAACGAAGCTAACAGAATTGGAATGGGCAAAACGTGGATTCGGTTTGTGGTGATCACCTTTCTTATAATCATTCTATTGGGACACGTGATATCGATTTATCTTCTGGTTAGGGATCATTTTACTCCTTGGTACCAGTGGTGGAGGAGAACGGTGAACATTCAGTTGAGGTTTCTTTGCCAAGGAGAAGAAACTGAAGGATAGTTTCAATCACAAAGCTTAGTCCAGTTTAAAAGAAATCTACATTATGGTATATATACCTAGAAATGCGAATTATATACATACAAAGTAAGAAGTTTATTATATCAAACACTTTTCTTATTTATTTCTTGTAGTAAACATGTTATTTAAATTCCAAATAAACCACAATTATTTACAGAACAGATTTTTATTAATGAACATTAATGGCAATGTGAATGGAGATAATGGTCCAATTTTTTTGAGTTTTTTGTTTCCATTGTTCGAGTCTCGTGAATTTATGGTTACGCTTGACTGGTTTTGACTGATACCGATTTGACGCCATCCGAACTCAAAGGTACGGATTGTGGCAAGGGTTAAGAATATGTATACTCCATCCAAGAAATCGAAGACATATCCAGTCTGATTTTATAGTAGAGTTCTTATTGACTCTGGTTACAGCAGGATTGTTAGATGTTTATATTTACTGTATAGAGTTCTTTGTAAACGAAGCTAACAGAATTGGAATGGGCAAAACGTGGATTCGGTTTGTGGTGATCACCTTTCTTATAATCATTCTATTGGGATACGTGATATCGATTTATCTTCTGGTGAGGGATCATTTTACTTCTTGGTACCAGTGGTGGAGGAGAACGGTGAACATTCAGTTAAGGTTTCCTTGCCAAGGAGAGAAAACTGAAGGATAGTTTCAATCACAAAGCTTAGTCCAGTTTATAAAAAATCTACATTATGGTATATATACCTAGAAATGCGACTTATATACATATATAGTGAGAAGTTTATTATATCATACACTTTTCTTATTTATTTCTTGTAGTAAACATGTTATTTAAATTCCAAATAAACCACAATTATTTACAGAATTGATTTTTATTCAACAACATTAATTAATGGCAATGTGAACGGAGATACTGGTCCAATTTTTTTTGAGTTTTTTGTTCCCATTGTTCGAGTCTCGTGAATTTATTGTTACGCTAGACTGGATTTGTATCTTATCACAGTTGGAGGTTGGAAACTTTGGTGTTACAAAAGCAAAATGAAACACTTGAATTCACCACAATACATCAAAACACTTTACTATATTAGCTTCATTAGCAGATGATTAAGACAAGAAGTAGTCAGCAGAGAATTAAGTAGTCTTAATCATCTGCTGATGATGCTAACATGGTTAACAGAATGCCCGTCCAGTGAAAAAGTAGAGTATTTTTGATGTATTGGTGTATATCATCATCATCATTCTCAGCTTATTCAACCATTTCCAATTATAGTGGAGTGGAGTCACATATTTAGATACTCTTTTTGTAGTTGGGCCCATTGTTGTGCATTGTTGGCTATGCGGGCCCAAGTTATCCCTGCTAATTTCCTAATATCATGGTCCCATCTCAGGTTTGGTCTTCCTCTAGGTCTCTTAATTCCTCGTGGGTACCATGCTCTAATTTTTTCGACCATCTGTTGTCCGTTCTTCTTGCCAGGTGGCTTGCCCATTGCCACTTGAGGGAGTTGATGGTAATGACTTGTAATACACATTGATCGAATGTTTTCTTCTTTAGAGTAGCTTTCTACATTTAAATATGATTGAGTTTCGTTCATAAGTACTCCATGCTAACTTAATTCTTCTGTTAATTTCTGGTGATAGAGATCCCGATCTGCGTATTAGTTGCCTCAAATATATAATATATTCTTCTACTATTTCCTATTCTGTCTGTCTCTATCGCATTGGGGGTTAGGGTGTTGGAAATCAAGTGCTTATAAAAATGCTTAATTTGTAAATAATAGTATATTTTAAATCATTCAATGATTAATGTAAAAAATGTTTTAGTGTATGGTAGTCAATCAGTGTTTTATTTTGCTGTCTTGACGGCAAATTTGTTATCTACTACTGATTTTCTGAACAATTAAATAAAATCAGAAAATTAGTAACAAAATTTAACCGTAATTTTTAAATAGCCTGGTTTTTATTTGATTTAATGCATCATGTATTTATTATTATTGAAAATTTTACTGATTTCAGATTATTTCAAAATTTTTATTATTACATTAAATTAAATTTTATTTGCAGCGCCATAAAGTTTAGGACTTCATACACTTTGTACAATACCACTTTTATGGCTATGCTAAAATTTTATTTTCTTCTTGAAACATAAACTTTACTTTTCTACATTGTCAGATAATGTAGACATAGTTTGTAAGATAAGAAATTGAGTTAGATAATTTACTGAACTTTGTATTTTTTTGATCCGCCTTTTAAAATTAAACATATTTCTTTAAATCCGAAAGGTTCATTGTATACATAAATAATTATTATTGATTTTTAAAATATTTAAACATAAACTAGCGAGAGGGAAATAAGACAATGAGCAGAGGTAATAATTTGTTATTTAAGTCAAGTAACTATCTACTCATGTTTATTTTTTTTGTCAATAATGACATGTAGAGGGTGGCGCCTCTCTCATACGCCGCGGTGGCTCCAAGGAGAACAACAGTTTGTACTGAAATGAAATTTTGTGAGCATGTGGGTTAATTGAAAGCACTTTTTAAAAATATAGAGAGTTCTACAGGGCGTCCCCAAAAAAAAGTTACATATCAAAGTTGTGCTTTATGTAATGGAACGCCCTATATATATATACAGGGTTGTTCACCACATACGACACGGAGTATTGTAGCTAAACGATTAGATTTTTACAAATTGTAAGTTTTGGGTTCGTTGAAGGACTATTAGAGCTACAATTTAAAAATATTTTTACAGATACAAAATATCAAAGTTGTATTTTTTTAAATGGAACATCCTGTATATTTTTGCATTTTTAGTTTCTACGATTAAAATAAAGGTAAATTTGATTAAGGTTTATTACACTTAAACCTTACCGTTTTTGAAATATTTTCAATTTTGTAAAATTGCAGTATAAATTTTAAGGCTTCATTCCTCCGAGGCTATCAAAGTTTTTAATAGTAAATATTTACTGAAGTTTATTTATTGATCAGTTATTGTGCTGCAATAATAAAAATTATACTACCTTATACAGAGTGTCTAAAAATTTATTTTAAATAATTACTAGCTTTAAACGGCAATAACTTGTTTAATTTAAATGGAATACCCTGTATATTTTATGAGAATCATATGTATAATTTAATTGTCTATCAAATTGTATTATACCACTTTTTACCTATCCCTTCAAGTTTTCGTAGAAAATGCATTTTCTTATAATTTAGACCTCATTTATCAATATACCCATGGAATATTGACATTTTAGATTGTTTTTAAAACAACAAATGTACAAAATGTACAGGCTAGTAATATTATCGTTTTTAGTAAAACGATGATATTACTAGCCCATTTGTATACAAAAAGAAAACTATTTAAATCTTTATAAAAGAGTATACCATTAATTAAATATACCACCAGTATTTCCGCCCAAATACTAATTAATTACATACTTAATTGTGTTCGTTAATAAATTATTCTAAATAAATGTGGATTTGAATCAGAAATCAATAATATATAATAATAAGTTATGAAAATGAACGTCTCTGTTGTTATAAATAAGCATTTGTCAGAAAATGAAATATCATTATTAAGGTGTTAGTCTTTTTACCACACTGTTTATACACATAAATAATTCAGCTTTTTAGTATTTGGAGCAATTATTATTAATCAACGCAAACAGCCAATTAATGTAGTTTGAATACTGGAATCATATTAATTGGTCCTCTTTAACAAATATTTAAACAGTTTTTTTTATTTTTTTAATACAATAAACGAACTATATTGACAATATTAGTACCTTTACTCTTTAAAAATTTGGTACATCTTTAAAAATAATCTAAAATGTCAGTATTCCATGGGTATATTATTGATAAATGAGTTCTAAATTACAAGAAAATGCATTTTCTACAGAAGCTTGAAGAGATAGGTAAAAAATGGTATAATACAACTTGATAGACAATTAAATTGTGCATCTAATTCTCATAAAATATATTGGGTGTTTCATTTAAATTAAACAAGTTATTGCCGTTAATAATTATTTAAAATAAATATTTAGACACTCTGTATAAGGTAATAAAATTTTTACTACTGCAACACAATAACTGATCGATAAATAAACATCAGTAAATATTTAGTATTAAAAACTTTGATACCCTCGGAGAAATGAAGCCTTAAAATTTATACTGCAATTTTACAAAATTGAAAATATTTCAAAAACGGTAAGGTTTAAGTGTAATAAACCTTAATCAAATTTACCTTTATTTTAATCGTAGAAACTAAAAATGCAATAATATACATATTATATATAATATGTAATAAGGGTGTTCCATTTAAAAAAATACAACTTTGATATTTTTTATTTATTTGGGCCACTCTGTATCTTGTAAAAATATTTTTAAATTGTAGCTCTAATAGCCCTTCAACGAACCCAAAACTTACAATTTGTAAAAATCTAATCGTTTAGCTACAATATTCCGTGTCGTATGTGGTGAACAACCCTGTATATTAATTGATT